GTACGGTCGAGAGGATATACACACATGTTCGCACTGGTCAGTGCAGCATATATATATACGCATTACAGACACACGCAAGCGCACACGTAAACACATGGACACACGAGCGTATACGCAACGACGCACGCACAGACGCTTTCACGCACGCACCACAATGCACGCAGGCAGCACACACGCACGCACACATGCACGCACACATGCACGCAGGCACACATGGCACACAGGCACACATGCACGCACGACATGCACGCACGACATGCACCAGGCACACATGCACCGCACACATGCACGCACACATGCACGCAGGCAACATGCACGCAGGTGGCAGGCAGGCATAAGCCCCCTTTTATAACAAAACCAGCACCGCAACAGCAGCAGTATACAAGAATGTAAATATGTCACACAGGTTACCGTTGTGTTCCTGTTTACTTTCATATTCATTTGACGTCGTCGTCACGATGCGCAAATATCTCAACGCGATATCGTGGCGCCATCTGGCGGAACGGAATGTGTCATCCGTGCGTAATATCTTCGCGGCATCATCTGCAGACGCCAACTCCTACGTGCAGGCGTCTGCCGTGCCGCTGACGGAGAGAACGCACGGGGAGAGGACGTGGCCGTGTAGCCATCGAACCCATGGGCGCATCCTACTTCACGGCACATTCGAACAAAATCTCATCGCACACGGTGCTCGGCTACGCCGCCTGCATAGGTAAGATGATTATGTCCGAGAGAGGCGCCTTGTGACAGTGAGTGAGCGGTATGCGTGATTTCCTTTTTCCTTAAGGGCCGACACACACAGGCGATGCCAATCGCCCGATGGCATCGCGCAGTCGTGGACACACCAGGCGATTTCATCGGGCGATGGCATCGCGCAGTCGTGGACACACCAGGCGATTTCATCGGGCGATGCCCGATTCTTGCGCGGCGGCAGTGCGCTTGGCTGATGAACTCTGATTGGCTGATGAATTTGTAAAATCGGGGCGATGTTATGCGGGTCGCGGACCACACCAGGCGATGGCATCGGGCGAATGCCATCGGCCGATGGCATCGGGCGATAATATCAAAACGTATTGATCTGTGGGCGATGCCATCGGCGGGCGATGCCTCGGCGGCGATTGGTGGACACACCAGGCGATTTTCACGCCGATCCTGCCGATCATGGCGATCCGGCCGATGGCATCGCCTGGTGTGTCGCGGCCTTTGTAGGATAATCAAGAACATAGGGCTCTAGTGACGCTGTCATTGGTTGATACAATCACGTGCCTCAAACTCCTGTTGCCCTAACGAGAGCGGTACGAGGAAAGCGCTTGTGATCACAGGCACTTGGAGCGTTTTCAATAAAATATAATGCTAAATAATACGAAATCTATTTACTACCAACGTCTTAATGTTTCTCTACTCTCTTTCCCTATTATTGCCGACAATTTCCTGTAAATGCCGTCAAATGCTCATCTGCAACAGACCTGGCCGCCGCACAGCCAACTGCTGCACACTGACACATAAATATATAAATAAAATATATTAACTATATATTTATGTGTCAGTGTGCATCAGCTAGCGTGCGGCGGCCAGCGTGTGTTGCAGATGAGCTTAAATATATATAACTATATATTTATGTGTCAGTGTGCATCAGCTAGCGTGCGGCGGCCAGCGTGTGTTGGCAGATGAGCATTAAATAATATATACTATATATTTATGTGTCAGTGTGCATCAGCTAGCGTGCGGCGGCCAGCGTGTGTTGCAGATGAGCATTAAATATATATAACTATATATTTATGTGTGCAGTGTGCATCAGCTAGCGTGCGGCGGCCAGCGTGTGTTGCAGATGAACATTTAGACGGCATTTACAGGAAAATTGTCGGCAATAATAGGTGAAAGAGAGTAGAGAACATTAAGACTTTGGTAGTAAATAGATTTCGTATTTATTTAGCATTATGTTTTATTGAAACGCTCCAAGTGCCTGTGCTTGTGATGAGCGCTTGGTGGGAAATGTAACGCAGTAATTAATATATTATGCTTTAGTTTAATTTTGACTCCTTAATAGCACCCGCTGTGCGTTGTGTCAGATTGTGAAGTTGGCTATCATTCTCTAGAACCGCGTCCGTGCATCCATCTATCTGAAGATTCTCATCAGGATTGCTCTCTATATACTATTACTCTCTCTACTCTTATACTATTACTATTGCTCTCTTATACTATATGCATTTAGCGGCAGCACTAACCCCGACACGAACACACGCGAGTTGTCTATAGTAAGTTGTTTCTTTCCATCGTTACTCATTGTATGCATATGTATACTATAATAAACATATATATATATATATATATATTATGCGTACTTGCAATTACGTGTTTCAGGTGAAAATAAGGATCACTGTAAGGCAGCTGCAGGGACGACCCCCGACGGCAATAACGGGCTGGTCGGTACGACCAGCTTCTGCTGCCAATAATTTTTCTTTCAACTGCTCGTGTTCCGGATGTCAGTATGATCATCGCCTGATAGCAGGAGATATTAATTCACCACGTGTTGCCATGACGACCAGGGGCAGGATAACAACGCGTCTCGTCTACTGTCATCGAATAATGGGTTTACGAATCGCTGAAAGCAGCAGCGCCGGTAGCCAGGGGGGGTATGGGGGATTCACACAACCCCCTCCGACCAAAAAAAATGACGACGAAACGAACCCCCCCCAATATAAAGCTGGCCTGGCCAGTATAGCGGGGATAAATTTTAGTTCAATTCTAATTCATTAATAGCAACCTATGAGCGCTGTCGATTCTGAAATTGGCATACATTCTTTAGAATCAATCCATGCATTCCAACTCTCTTCCAATGCCGCACCAGTGTCGTTTTCTTGTAGTGTATCATTTAGCGGCTGTACGACCCGGGGGAAGGGACTCCCTATATATTGTATGGTAGGCAGGCCCGTAGCCAGGGGGGGTTTGGGGGTTCGAACGAACCCGCGCGCCCCCCAGCAAAATTTTTTTTTTTTGAAAATTTGCAAGAATTTCACCTCAGGTCGCTCCATTTTAGTGTAATAATTGCAAAATCTCCATCGTGCGGGAGGGTGAACAGTGAACCCCCCCCTCCCACACCCCTCCACCCCGCTCGGTTCGCTTGGTGCCTCTCGCCTGGTCGCTTCGCGCGCCGAGCAGGGGCGTGTACAGCGGGGGTCCAGGGAGTCCGGACCCGCCCCTTGTCGCGCGCATGAAAACGCATCTGAGGTCTATTTTAAAATTTTCTGGGGAGGGCCCGCCCCCCCCCACCCCCGCTTCGCGTGCTCGCAACTTTGGGTTACGGTTAGACCCCCCCCCCCCCCCTGGTACAAATCCTGTACAGCCCCTGACGAGCAAATTGCAACATTGAAAAACGAACCCCCCCCCCCCAATATAAAGCTGGCTACGGGCCTGTGGTAGGTATATGTGCCCGGGAGAGACCCCCTTTTCACCTCAAAATTTCCATTCTGGAGACCCCCCTTTTCACATATTTTCCGTTCCGGAGACCCCCTTCTCACATATTTCCCGTACCTGCGCATATGTCCTACTTTTTTCTGCACGTTCGGAGCCCCCCCCCCATTTTACTGTGCTGAGTTAGACCGAGCGCGCCAATTCCATCTCTCAAGTGGCACATACCTACCCTATTTTGTAGGGAGTGCCCCCCCCCTCGGGCTGTACGACTTTTGACCATGACACATCTATACATGTTTCTTTCTAGGCGTTACTCAGTGTTATACATGTGCATTTGCTGTTTGCGTGTGTGCTTGTTGTTGACTAATCTGTTTATGTCTACTACATACACGCTATTTCTTTGTGTGGTGACGAGGGAATGTGTTGTGCTACCACTTTTCCGCACGCCACGGCTCCAATGCCGCTGGGTTTTCACTGTTTGATCAGCGTTGGTAATTAGTGTACGAATCAATGTTACTCGCAAACTTGTACGAGAAGAAATGATGTTATATAGTCAGTGTGCGCGTGCGCGCGCGAGTTCCAAGTTCTATGACTCTGCTAATTTTTCGATGTCGTAGTAGCAGTGTGTGATTTACATAGAAGTGTTTATATAATTCAACGCGCGGCAAATTTCCACCGTAATTCTATGTATCGCGCGGCATTTTGGCGCGTGTGAAACTGGCTCGTAGGCTCTGTTGGGAGCAGTGGCGGTATTATTATCGTATCTATGCGCGACAACAGGGGATTGCATGCGTGCGGCAGACGCGACCATGAGCTGGGATTATAATTATATTGTCGCAGGCATCGTTGTGCGTATAGCGTGGTATATATGTGTGGTTAGACAGGCCGGCGTTGTAGTTGTGTTCTGCAATCACTGACGGTACACGAGTCGTCGTGATGCACGGACTAGGCGACCGGTCGTATGAATCTCGCGATGCGGTAAAAGCGTACTGGCGTCACATTTTAAGCATATAGGATATTTACCACGTAATACGTCATTTGTCGCCTTTATCATGATGTTAACTGGTGGAAGAGACAGTGAACAGTTGGCATGCCGTAACGCCGTTGAATACTTGCTGTGCTGCGTAACTGTTGTATGTGGCCAGTATGCGCGCGCTGGCGTTACACAGGTTCTACGTGAATGCAATGCAGTAGAATTGCGCGGCGCGTTTGTGTTAGCCTACATGCAGCTTGTTTCCATGTTTGGGTTTACTACATGAATGCAATGCATCCAGCCTATTGCACCGGTAGACGGCCTCATTGCCGCTGTGCTCTCCTTAGACACCTGCTGGCACAAACTTAGGTGTGGAAGTTAATGGAAGTTAAAAATAAGTAAAAAAGAAGGTTTTGTGATACACTCAGACAGTAAAATTATAAACGAAAAAATAATCAAATTTTTGTCAAATAAATCAATAGTTTGTTTTAAAATTTTGACCTTAACAACAAACAAGTATTAATACAATGTAATTATCAGAAGTATTATATGAGTGCTTTCACATAATATCCATATCTGAGCTATAGATGGAATATTAAAAGAGAGAATTATAAGCTAACAACTATAAGCAAAATTTACTCCAAAATATATGAATAATAAAGGATGTATAATTACATTTAACTATACAATTGTTGGAATAAATAAGATAATAATAATGCCGAAAGCAGAATTTACCATTAAAATAACTATTAAAATAATATAGACATAATACTGATTGTCACTGACAGAAACTGAGAAAACCCTTCCAGAACTGAAGTTTACAATAGAAAATTGAAATTGAATTGAAATAGAATTATAACCAGACAGATTCTTCCAGCATAAAGAAAAGAACAAAAACATATATGGCTGTCTCCAAACCAAGCAACGTAGTAGATTGCCTCCCTATACATGAGCAGTTGATGTGATATATACTGTGCACGAGCTCAAAAAGAAGGATTCTAAGGAAGCAACACAACACAGAACTTGAGAAACTCTGTAAAGACAAAAACGAAAGCAAATCGCAGTATCAGACACAGAACAGCAGAACATAGCACTGTCCATAAAGCAGAGAAAACAAAGGCAGCAGCCTGGATAAGAAACCTCAGACCACCCCATATGATAACCAAGAGCCAGGGCCAGAAAGAACCATGCAGTTACCCTCAAAACCAATTATGGAAAACACAAGATATATCCCAACAGAAAAAAAAGAGAACATTTAAAGCCCTGGAGCATGACTTCTTTCACTTCTTGGTCCAAACAACACTTATTCACTCTGCATTGGTTGTGCAGGTATGTGCAATTTATGACTAAACTATATATACATAGCACACTATCTGAAATCATTTTAGTCGAATCAGTCAGGCGTTTATTTTTGTGGCCATCGTTAGGTTGATGACTTGGTTGACACGTCATTGCACCATCTTCACAGTACAGATATTTTTGTACAGAATAAAACTGTAATCAACTAAGGATTTAAGAACGCCGACAGAGTAACGAACCTAAATTCAACATCGTTTTCATGCAATCGTGATCTCTGCATGGTTCCGACAGGCTGATTCGCTGCTTAATGCCGAATAATGAGCCCTGAATTTAAATGCCGATCATTTACTTTCACAAGTTTTACAAGAACAAGGGAAGGCTTTTCTCCTTCTGAAGAATAATTGTTCTGATCAGCTATATGATGGCGCAGCTTCTATTTTGCGTTCTTAGTTTTACAGTCTGCTGGTTTAGCTAAACATGTGATGCCTGAGCTAAATCATTGGTCAAGTACGTTCCTATCTGTATTCGCACGCGTGAGTGACACAGGCCAAATGCCCCACATTTTGTTTGTGCACAAAGACGTGTAAATGTGCATGTGAATCCACTGTTGCTAGAAATCCTCACACGATTTGTGCTGACTCAGCTAGCTTCATGCACCTGTGTGGATGCTGCCCTGAAACAAAAATGAACATATATATATGCTAATGTACAGAATTATATAGAGAAAAATGTAAAAGAAATGGGCAGACAGAAATTGAGAGAAGGAAAGATACTGAGAGCACACAAGCATAATATTTTATATTCTTTTCTGTTTTTCTGGCTACTCGCCTACCCAAATTTATACACATGCCTCATGGCTAATGTTAATTTCCACGCTTTCCCATTTTCCAAGATCGCATCACCAAGCACTAATGAAATATATACCTGCATCGCTTTCGCTGGTGTTGTTTCAGCAGATTTGATCGGGTATAGCTTTCTCCACAGATATCACACTTGTACGGTCTCTCCCCCGTGTGCATCCGCCGGTGTGAGTTAAGATTTCCCGACTGCGCAAACGCTGCCCCACACCATTCGCACTCGTACGGCTTCTCCTTGGTGTGATAACGCATGTGTGTAATTAAGTTACTGGAATGCGGAAACGAAATGCCACACCACTCGCAATGATGCAGTTTCTCTTTCGTGTGGAATCGCACGTGAGATTTCAAAGCCGTCGCCTTGCTAAAGGTGGCTGAGCACAGGCTACAGTGGTATGGTTTTGCTTTTCCATTAAAATGAACGTGAGAATTCGCGAACGATCTACTGACGTCGCTTCCACCGTCTGGCGTACGCACCGTGACCGGCTGCAGCCGCTCCAGCACGTGCGGTTGCGTCGTGAAACGTTCTCTTGTCTGCTCGGTGGAATTTCCCGACACGCAGTCGGAGACTGCACGCACGACCCGAATTCCTCCTGGTTTGAGTGCTGCTCGCGACTTGCGGAGTGTATTACCGACAGTTTCCACAGTCCTGATTCTCACGGGAGGCAGGGGCTGCGTCTGTACGGAGTTGATTTTCTTTGCACCCTGAGTGATACTGGACATATTAACGTGAAAAAATCGCTCTGGTCTGCCGGCTATGGCATCGATGCCCATGGTGCCTGCTGCATATGGCATTTCTCTCTCTACCATGTTTAATATTTCATGTTCCGTCATCTCCATCTGAGCCAGAGAACTGAGAGCCCCCACAGTGGTCGTGGCCACAGCATTCGAAGCACCGTTCTGAACTTGAGGCAAATTGATAGAATACTGCCTACCAGGGCAGTCTGGAGTTTTGTAAGCAACTGCGCCAGATACTCCATTCTGGCCATTATCGCAGTGCGTGTTAGCTACTACAACCTGCATGAGATTGTTCATTGAATCGCCACTGTTGTAACATGATGTATCACTGACGCTGCAGCACGCAGCACTCTCACTGTTAATATGGTCATTTGTTACTTCAAGTTTCACAGTGACAGGTGGATCTTTTCTGACTCTTTTCCCTCCTCTGCCTCTTTCTTCTTTTCCTCCTGCTCCTCCTCTTCCTCCTCCATCTTCTCCTCCTCCTCCACTGCCTTCTCTTCTAACTCCTATTTCTGCCGGACAATTGATCTCTCCTGCAGGATGTTGTAACAGTGCGGCAGTTTCATAATCAATATTTACTTTATCTTGAGAACGACCTTCTGGTTTCAGTGATATTGTCTGTGTTTCAGTAGATACACCATCAATCACAGCCGTCTCTGTGTTCTCCTCGGGGTCATGACCTTGACACACCAGTACTTTACAGTGAACTCTCTCGGCATGATTGAAGAACTCCAACCGTGAGAAAAAACACTCACAACATGAAGTGCACCTGTAGTACATTGACATATCGCTTGGTTCTTCCATTTTTTTACTGTAATAAGGATATTCCCAGTGCAGTTGCTATGCAGGCTACTTGCGAAGTCAGATGACTCCTTGATTGGTCCAGGATTCTTTTGATATACTGCTATATAAACACAAACATATATTGTTACAATAATCAGCACTATACATAACCCTAGCCAAGTCCAAGGACCACAATGTAAATAAGTGTGCTAGTCATGATTTTTGTGTATATATCCTTGGTAGTTATCCAATTTTATGAATTCAGAATTTTATTGTAAAAGTATGCTATGTATTGTATATGATGGATAATTGCCTAAATAAATAAATAAATAAATAAAAAATAAATAGCAGATTGCAAGATTAACGTCAAAAAGACACCCACCCTCAAAAAAAGCCGACCTACCTACCCAAACTTTTCAGCCTGGGTTGGGTGGGGGCAAACAAAGATTTTTTTAATTGTGGCCTGGTTACAATTTTAATAGTGCAACCAATACATTACATGAAATTGTATGTTAATAGATGCTTTTGTTTCCTGGAACTTAAATTAGCCCAATCACACTTTTGCTTAGTTAGATACAAATGCGTAAACTATCTTACATATATGTACCCTATATAAGTAGGGTTACAACGGCAATGTTGTCGGGTTGCGGAGGCTTATTTTTTGGCTTACATACCTCCACAGTGATTTTCCTCTAAAGACTAACACCTGTTTCTTCCATTCTGAGTAGCATGGATTAACACAATAGAACTTCTATGAGCTATCTCACAAGTTTTATGTGTAGAGTTGCGATCTCACCTAACACCATTTCTGTTGACCTATCACCTGTCAACACCTATCAACCTGTCATACACAACTTCTCAGGCCAAAATAACAAATATTGTTTGTTTGCCCTCACCCGACTAACCCGACAAAAAGGGGCCGACTCAAAAATTTTTATTGATCTTTCCAATTCTTTTTTTTTTTTACAAATTGTATCACTGTACATTATATAAATCTGTAGACAATACATTATATGTACCAAGCAAAACAAACATTCTACATAAAAGGTATTTCCACACAAGCACACCCAAGCATGTAGACAACATGCTGAATTTGTAAAAAGACCCCCCTCAAAAAAATAATAAAAAAGCCGACCTACCTACCCAAACTTCTCAGCCTGGGTCGGGTGAGGGCAAACAAAGATTTTTTTAATTGTGGCCTCACTCTGTATAGCACTCAGCTGTGCTTGGTTCCCATAGCAGATGCCTTACGGGATGTCTGCTTTCAGATCCGACGTCAAGCCAAATAAATAACTGTTGTGGAAAAGCAATAAAGTTCTAAGTATATGCCATTGCTGTGGATGAAAAAATTGAAATAACCATAATTTCACCCATTTCATTTACTGATTTACATTTTTTATTGCTCTGCTAATATTTATTCATCTCATTCGAAATGTATTTGGTTCAGAGCTAAATCCAACCAGTCATTGGCAATTTGGCCTAATGTCATATTTGACGGCCTCTACTTTGGAAACTGAACTTAGCTGAATTGTATCAAGAGCTAATAATACCTCTTATTAGCTCTTGATTGTATGCATAATGCGTCACAGAACAACAGAAATGGCGATTAGCAATATCGCTACACTTCACATCGAACTTGTGAAACACAGGTTTTACAGCCAATATCGTGATCATCTGTAATGCTCAGGATGGCGGGAACATGTGAGTGTTTAGGGTACTCTATTAGAGTCGCTATGGAGGTATGCAAGCCTAAGAATAAATTATGAACTCCACCCCGAGGGAATCACCCAAGGGCGCTTCCGCAACCGGAAGAGGTTGCCGCTGTAACCCTGCAAACATTCTATTACAATACATTATAATTTATAATTATCACTGACACTGAGCATGCAAACACAGGCACTTGGAACGTTTCAATAATAAAAGGATGGGAAATAAAAACACGAAATACATTTACTACCAAAGTCTTAATGTTTCTCTACTGTCTTTCACCTATTATATTACAGGCACTGATAATTTCTTGTAAATGCCGTTCAAATGCTCCTCTGCAACACACAAGTACACTGATCATTTTATCATCCGAAACTCCCTAACAGTAACAGCGCTACTCGACTGTTTCGGCCAATAAACGTAGTCATGTGTGTGATGTCATTATTGCGCGCATTATGCTAGCTTGGCTTGGCAGACCCTCGAAATCAAGTTCGGAGGCAGGCAGCAGCTCATCCCAGCATGCAAGGCACTGCCATTATTTGTGTATAAACAGGCACTTCCTCCCATTTACATTTTGGCAGAGTGGGAATTTTCCGCAGAAATTCCCGAGATGCGTAGAGTAGGCAGTACCAAAAGGCAGTTATCATTTGATGAAGTGAACGTTCAAAGGTAAAGTATCTAGCTATGCATAGATACCAAAATTGTTAATTGAGGCTGTTGGTTGCACAGGCACTTGAAGCGTTTCAATAAAATATAATGCTAAATAAATACGAAATCTATTTACTACCAAATTCTCAATGTTTCTATACTCTCTTTCACCTATTATTGCCGACAGTTTCCTGTAAATTCCGTCTGTTGTATCTCTCTTAGTGCATGAATTAGAGTAGATATTATTACCTCGCATCACTCTTACTCCAATAAATTAGAGGACGCAGATATGTGAAACTCAACCACCACCTTTATTCCTAGAATCCGGAGAGTCCTCCTTCCCGCCAAAACGATACATCAACAATAGAACATTACATCTCTTCTTTTCTTTAAAGGAACACAATAACCTGGAGCAATAAACCCTTTGCCATATAACATACAATGTCCAACTAAATTCAAACTTATCCTGTAACACAACTGTGGAACAACTAATCTCAAGACATTGTATCTCCAACACAATAAGAACGAAATTTACTCATTACTAGTCAGTAGTACTTAGCAGGTACTCTCTTTTGCCTGTGGATCTACGATACTGGGTTGTCAAGAAGATTGTGGCATCTGAGACGTATCTTCAGATGAAGCCTGAACATCTGGATCTATAATTAGTTCTGACACATCAGTGACATCACTGTCTGGAACTCCACTATTGGCTCCAGTTTCAATCATGGGTGACGCGGTACCTTCTACCCTATCGTCCTGTATGGGAGTACTAGCATTCGACACGTATTTCCTAACATGAGTAGTATTCCTAGAGTATGAGCACCATTCGGAGCCTCCACTACAAGACTATTACCAAATTTCGCTTACGACAGTGTGGGGGACCGGATCGAAATGTTGTGAAAACTTATTGGTTTCTCTTTCCTGAACAGAAACTTTATCACCAACATCAACGCCAAAGTATTGCGCGTTGCCGACGTTCGTCAGCGTAGATTTTCGCTTTCCCTTTCTGTTCAGCATCACGATCGCGTACCTCCATATCAATACGACTGTCTGCCTGGAAATCTGGTAATTCCCTCTCACTTTACGATTAAACAAGAGTTCAGCTGGACTTACTCCCTGTAGTATGATGGTCATGCCACGGTATTTCGTCACATACTTCCTGAGTTCCCTTTTCAGTCTAACCCTTCTGCCTGAGCGATACGAATTCTCTTCCCATCAGCCGACTTATTCTGGCGTTCTACTCGCCATTTGCTTGCGCCCATTTTGCAGTAACCTTGAGGGCCGTGCATCCATATTTGATCACAATACTCAGAACTCTTCAGAACGAACTGTGGTTCCGTTATCTGACTTGATAGTGATAGGGAGTCCATGACGACTGAATATCTCTCCAAACTATCGATTATCTTTACAGCAGGGTAGAGTTTAGGAATATCGTATTCATAGAACCGACTATAGTAGTCAACTACGACAAGTATCGAATGTCCCGATGGAAATGGTCCCAGCAAGTCGATTGCCACATCCTGCCAGGGTCCATCCGCTAGCGTTGTGGTCTCAGCGGTTCGGGTGGAAATGCATGCCGCGAATATACTGACAACCATGACACGATTACAAATACTTCTCCGCAGCTCTATCCATTGCCTGGCCACCACACTTTGCTTCTTAGATTCTGTTTCGTCGCCGACCACACCTAAATGGCCCTTCGTGTGCCAAAATGCTAGCGCTCTGTGCGTGCGTAACTTACTTGGTAATACAATACGAGTACCTCGGTAGCACCAAGACTGTCAATCACGATAATTCTGCCCACTTATTGGATGCAACGCCTGCCATTTCTCAAATCGACCCGGTCTTTATTGCTTCTCGCTAATATGATTAGTCGATCGCTCAGCTGCGGACATTTGTTCTACTTCACGTTGTAAGTTAGCGCTCTTCGGTGTCGCATTGCTAGGCAACAAACCGCACTATTCCTCTGCACCAGATGATACATGCCCTGGTGACACTGACTTACCACTTTTCAGAAGGCGCGCGTGGCAATAAATCTGCTATATTCTTTGCGTCCTGGTACATACACTACTTATGAACGTATACGGATTGGAGACGTATCACCCATCTTTCAATTCGCGCCACACGGCTGCGGAACGCGGGCTGTAGATAGCTAATGCCGTTTATGTATCCGTCCACTATAATCAATTCCTGTACCATATAGTACGCATGGAAATCTTCTCGCACGCCCAAACTAGACCCAGCGGCTTCACGCTCTTGTCTCTGAATATCTACGTTTCACAGTCGGACAAAACTTACGGACTCGCACTAACGATAGCTGGTACAACTCCTCCCATTCTGATTCCTGTACTAGCCACAGCACCTAGACCAACTGGACTAGGCATCAGCTATTCACCTTAGTGGGGCATCGTTATCAAGAGTAAGCCAACGTTATTGCTTTAGCGCAGATGGTCCTTCAAAGCATGAATGATTGCTTATCTGCTCGGGACCAAGTTGAATGTACACTCCCTTCGAGTCAGTTTCCTCAGGTGGCCTCAGAAATTGGTCGCCGAACTGCCCGGTATAACTTAGCCCACTATAACACATAGACCTAAAAAGCTATCGCCACCTCTGATGCACTCGCCTTGGTTCTCGCGCTTCCCATCACAGCTTTTACCTGTCTCAGTAGGCCCTATTACTTCTCGGATAGTAGTATCCCATGAATACAAGCTGATCCATATCAAATTGACATTTGTCAGGATTTCAGTGTTAGTCGCTGGACTTGCACCGTTCATAACTGCACTGTATGCCTGATCATATCATGTGTTTCTTAATCAGGGTCCATGCACTATGATATCATCAGAGATATTTTCCACACCTCGATGCCTTGCTAACGCTGTTGCTTATCTCGTGTTGATATTTGCGTCGCTCCGCGAACATACACAAAACAATGTCTTTATAGCGACTACAGCCTGAATGAGTGGCGAATAGTGGTGATTTCACGACACTCTGGAGACAGCTCCAACTGGTTGATGAACCCCACTTTAAAATCTGTAATCTGCTGAAACACTTTTGACCATTCATACTTTTGGAGCAGTTCATCCACGGTGGGTATGGGGTATCTGCACGAATAACTGCCTCATTGCTCTACGCATCATCAACGACACAGCCTTATGTCACCTGCGCGTTTCGGGCGACTGACGACTGGCATTTTACCCAAGTGTGGTGGACCATTGACTCTGTTCAACATGTTGTCTAAGATCCAGTAATTCTTTTATCTTTCATCTTACCTTATCCCTCAATTGAAGTGGGGTTCCCTCAAGGCGTTGTGCTACTGCGCGGTACAGTGTGGATCAATGTGGATAATTACTTGCCTAGCTTTTCAATTTTCACACCGTGGAACACATCGGATACAGCGTCTGCGATATCAATGGCTACATCGCTTACTTGCTGCAATCTCAATGCCAATTATCAGGACACCTAGCTTTCGTCGCGTATCTCTACCAGCCAACGGTACACCTTTCCCTTTAATTACCAGGAACTCAGGCTCAGCCGACTTTTCCCCCGGCCTGAATAACACAGTTCAAACCTTCCCTTTACTGGCAATGGTTTATCAGACCATAGCTGGGAGAACAGTTTCCTCACTGTAGTACTAGCCACAGACTTGCACTTTATCTTTCTAGCATTTTCATTCCCTCCCAGGTTTCTCAATCTGAACGATGTTACTGGTCGCACACCTGAATCACCAACATTGTTAAATGCCACACCACCAACACATCGTCGTAAGCATCCTGCATTTACAACAGACACAGTGAATGCATAATCTGAGAATTACAGGGGTCATTAGGACTTTCACTAACTTAAAATTTTCCCCTTGACTAGACTTTGTCTACACACTTTAGCAAAATGATCTTTTCCCTTTGCACTTTCTACAGATGACCTTTTGTGGATACCATTCGGATCGCTCCCAAAAATGAACAGTTAAATCCGCATCTATTAACAAGCCTTATCTCTAACAGTACAGTCTTATTATCGGCATTTTACTCCATGCTCTCCGTTGTGTGGCTTCCAGTGTCCATTCTCTCACCGATTCTGTTGCACAGTTTCGCCGCTATTTGCCGTTCGAAAGTGCCGCCATTGGCCCTCCACCATCTCGCACTGTCTGCCACGTTGTATGGCACGCGCTAATGTCATGCCTGGCCTTCTATCCAGCCAGCTTCCTCCTAACGTAATCCGACGAGCACTTGTCTCAAGCACACTGCCTTTCTCTGATCTGTATGTCTCAATATTCGCTGCCAAAATTTACAGTCTCTTGCCGCTCTCCTCAAATCGTGTGACAAATTGTTGGCACAGGCTCTACACCTGGTTTCTGAGTGTCCGGTGAAATGATCTGTCTCGCAAACGCTGAATTTACTTCGCAGTGTCGAAATAAAGTAAAAATAATGTGCTTGTTCCTGCGGACAACCAGGCCATTCAATCAGGCGTTGTCCGCAACAATTCTGGTTGTCCCAAAAAAATTATTCCCAAATCTCATTTCATCACATATAAATATTAATAATATGGTTCAGAAAACCCCAAAAACAGTGTGGTAGCCATGCGATTTGTTAACAAGGGCGGTGGGGGGGGGCAAAAAACAGCAAACTGCGCAAAAAAGTGGGATGACTTAAATACTTTTAATGGTCCTTCCGTTTCTCCCTCTCCACATCCTACGGCTCCTCTACCTTCCTCTGCCAATCTTTGTTTTGGGTGCATTGCCGAAAAGGCGACATTTTCGTGTTCAAG